GGGGGGGGGGGGGGGAGCCACTCCAGGGTCACGAGGCCAGAAGCTGCAGAGGCTTCTGGTTTGGGGCTGAGGGTGAGAGGGGGAAGGGGGACAGGGGATGGAGGTGGGGGCTGGGTGGAGCTGGGCTCACCTTGCTGCTCTGCCACAGACTCCTGCTGCTGCTGCCTGCCTGTCATCTTTGACAGGCAGTGAGAGGCAGATAAAAATTAATTTTCTAAAATTTTTTAGAGGCCCCGCGTGCCGTATTTTGCCCACCCCATCTTAGCCCATAAGCTGGATTCCCTGGCCATGTCTTGGGATGCAACCAAACACTACAACCAAGAGCAAAGGGCTCTGTTCGTCTATCTAGAAGGGATTCCCTACTCTACCCCTACACTGTACTGTCAGATCGCTTCAGGAAATTCATATAGACTTTCAATTACTTGCACCCATGCGGTCCACTTGAAATGTCCCCCACATGATGAGGCAAGCACCATGGAGTCTTCTTAGAGCAGGGGTGGGCAATTATTTCAGGCGAAGGGCCACTTACTGAGTTTTGGCAAGCCATCGAGGGCCGCATGACAGGCGGCCAGGAGCAGATAATATATTAATTTTCTAAATTTTTAGGGGCCCCACAGGCCAGACAATGGCCTGGAGGACCACATCTGGCCCACGGGCCACATTTTGCCCACCCGTCTTAGAGCCTTGGCTCTCTCATCAAGCCAACTGAGTCCCCATGCCTCAGCATTTCCTTCCCTAAAATGCCCATCTTGTATAGCCCCATTTCAGAGAAGGTAAGTCTATTTCTGCTGCTTTAGTCTTAGTTCCTCCCACTGACTCACCTCCAAAGCAGCAGAAGGGGCACAGACCCCGCCCCCACCACTCCAGGGCCAGTAAAAGCTGCTACAGCTTTCCCAAGAAACCTGGCATTCCATCAGGGATCAACAATCCTCCTCTACTCGTTCAAGGGAGAAGGGGGCAGGGGAGTTGTGGGGGGGAAGTAGACTAGGTATCTCTGACCAGCAAGATTGCTAATACGGTAGCAAAACCCCCAGTTTCTTTTTTTTTTTTTTTCTCCTTTTAAAATGCATTTCCTTCCCCAAACATTTCTGACTTTCTCTCCCTCTCTATTCCCTGTAGATAAGTATGAGAGAGATAAGACATAGGATAAGCTTCAGCATTTTATTTTGGTAGCAAGTTGTATTTGTTTTGGTTTTTTTTCCTCCTCCTTTATATTGTACAAGTATGATGTTTATATTGATTTTTACAGTTCTATACTACTGTTTTACTGATACTATATAATTTAGGCCTACATATGTAAGTTAGCATAAGTCATGTCAAGTTTCCATTTTGTTTGTCAAGTCTCCATCTTTTCCCCATGCCCTGTTGTGTAACCCATGACTCACACCTACCCCTCCTATGTAACTTGGTTCCTGGATGATTGGGGATGAATGAGGGTGCTTGAGAGACAATGGTAGTACATCTAAAAATAGCTCCCTCTGAATGACCAAACCATCAAAACCAATACCTGGACCAACAACCCAGCCATTGGAACCACCCTCAGCATTCAAGAAACAAAAGATAAGGCAACCCACCATTGTGCCAAGGCTGCACATGCTCAGTAAGAACACCTGGAGCCCTCTGGAACATTGCCTGTACAGGCCCTCCCCATAGGAGATCATAGGTAGTCTGCCCCATAAAAAGGGGTAGTGAAGACTGACTCCTGGGGGTGCCCTCTCCATTTGGACCAGCACCATGCCACACCACCTATCCACCCAGAGGCCCTGCCAGAGACCCCCCTCTGGACAACGACCCCTTTCCAGCATGGATAGGTAGCTATCACCCCCCACCCCTTCTTCAACCGAGGACTTGGACTCTGCTTCTCTTCCCTACCTGGACTCCAACCCTTCCACTGAGTCTCTTTCTCCTGCTGCCATTGTGCGCGCGTACCGATAACTCCATGGGGCTGTGTAGTGTGTTGTCTGTTTAAAAAAAGCCCTGTTATTTGGACCCCTGAGTTGTGTTTTGCTTTACTACGGTTCCGGCCCTGCTCCAATCTCTGCTCCTCCCCCCTTTAACTGCTGTCTCATTTTTCCCTCTCCTGCTTCTGGCTCACTGCCACCTCCAACACCTGTCCTGAACTCTTCTCTGCCTGCAAACCCCATTTCTTTGCCACTGGCTTATCCACACTGCCTTTTTGCCAGATCTCTGCCACTGTTATTGCCTTGTCCTCACTGCCTTTTCCCCAAGCTTCCAGGTTTCTGACTCAGTTTCTTTCCTGGCTGTCTCCTTGCCACCAGGCTTTTCCCCTTGTACCAGTGACCTCAAGTAATCCTGGGGCCACTTGACCTTAAGTAACCCCAACCCTCAGTTCCTCAGCCCAGCTTCTCTCCAGTCCACCAGTTCTAATGCCGGTTCTGGCAACTTTCACTCCCTACACTTTAACTCTCTCACCTTAACCTTCCCTCAGGTATCCCAAGTACCCCAAGCACACGTATACATACCATACCAAGTTAGGAACTTACTCACCAGTTCACACTCACTCACAGGTAAGTGTGTGCGCACATGCGCACAAACACACAAAATGAGACAGAGAGAGATCTCTATATCATTGTATGTAACATATACAAATTAGTGATCATATGTGTGTACTGATTGTGTGGGTATGGACAATTGATTTTCGTCCAACTTTTGGAGTGTATAGTGTGTGCGCTTGAATTGGTGATAGGTATGCATGTGCCCAGGCTGGTTTGGATGTGTAAGTGCCTGAGTTGAGAGAGAGAAGTGTGTGTGTGTGTGTGTGTGTGTGTGTGTGTGTGTGTGTGTGTGTGTGTGTGTGTGTGTGTGTGTGTGTGCGTGCGCAATTGTGTCTCACCCTCCTAACAGCACAATATTGAGATCCTGAGAGAGAGAGAGAGAGAGAGTGTGTGTGTGTGTGTGTGTGCGTGTGTGTGTGTGTGTGCGTGTGTGTGTGTGTGTGCGTGCGTGCGCAATTGTGTCTCACCCTCCTAACAGCACAATATTGAGATCCTGAGAGTTGGCCTGACCCCACAGGGCAACAATGCCACAGATAAAAGAAGTCACAGAGGTTGGGGAGTAGAGGCAGAGCCTGAGGGCTATGTGCCCATCACCCCATTCTCACATCCCCATGACTGTAATAGCAGTATTTCCCCCTACATAAAATACCTTTTCCTGCTTTGTCCCCCATGTCACTCCAGGATTCAGGGCTGGGTACAGTCAAAAAAACCTGCGTGGATTCCCAAGGAGACACTGGCAAAAGCCCAGGATGGGGCATCCACCTTTCCCCATTTCAAAAACCAGCACACCTCCATAGGAGCCTGCCTTTCCCTGCCTGCAGCATTGTGTTCCCCTTGCCTGACTCCTACCAAGCCAGCTTGCCCAGGACTCTCTCAGGCACTTTCCTGGGAAGCTTCCAAAGTACAGCCCACCTTGCCTCCCCCAGCAGCTTAAGCCCAGCCCAGCAGTGAGGCACACTTAAAAGGATCTTGCAGCTCTGACTTATTTATAAACCTGTTTAATACCAACTTTCCTCTTTCAAAAGATAATTCTAATTCATCACATTTCATTAAAAAATATTCATGCCTCTCAATCAGTTTATGTCTAGTATGTATTCCAAGACTTAGTGACAAGAAGACTATATATCTGCTTCTTTCCCAGACCTGAAAAAGGGCACTTTGTGCCTGAAGAATTATCTAACATCTGCGAATTATTCAATTTGTCCAATAAAAAGGTATTTCCCCTCCCCCCCCCAAAATACCGTTTGTTTCTAGGATGTGAAGGAGTCCAAGCAATAAGCCACTCCTTGCTAACTAAAGGCTTTTAAAGACAGGAGTACTAATGCCTCAGATCACACAGTCAATTGAACACTGACTTGCAAATAGCCCATAATAGCCCAGCCCAAGGTCTCATGTCAGTTTTAAAACAGCTTTGAGCTGAAATAGGATGCTACTAACCCACTGTTTCCCCTCTGAAGGACTCACAAGGTCCCATACCCCATATGAATTACAACAGAACTGCAGTAGAATTTGTAGTCAAAGAGTTGATTATGTTGAATACCAGAATTGTAATGATATGCTGAAACATACACATCTGGCTTGGCTTTGCTCTATGCTAAACATCCGGCCTTTCAGCACAAAATGTTAAGGGTTCTAATCAACTCCAGGTATGACTACTTGGAGCTCAGGGCAAGCACTCACCTGACCTCTTCACCTGCAAAATCAAACACTTTGGTGATTGTCACTTTTTCAATATCTTTCTGCTCCTCTGGCTCTTCTACTTCTTTTAGGGACTTGTTCAAATTCTTCTTTACAGTCTGAGAAACAAAAAAATCAAAGATGGTTAATCAGGACGCGAGACCAATTAATTATCTCAAGTGGCCAATGGACAGTTACAAACATCAGGTACAACTGAAATTTATGGCTCAGCTCCTGACTTGTCATGATCCAAAACAAGTCACACACAACAACAAAACATCATGCCTCAACTGTTAGATTCAAACTCCTCATATACCTTCCAACCCCTCTTTGCAAGACAAGGATCAGAATGCTAGACCTGTCTGCTCATATGAAACAAGTGGAATTCAAGTGCTTTTATTGAAAGGCTGAGTGTAAAAAACTAGCACTAACACTGTGCTCAGGTTCAGAATTTAAGCAAGCAGGAGTCTGGAAATTCCAAGTCTTCTACCCCCAAATTAGGCTCAATTGCCCTATAAATCCAACTGTACAGATTAAGCAGGAATATAATTTTATTAGTTTTTAACCATGTTGTATTTTATTTTACTGGTTAAGCTAATTTTTTAATAAAACCATTAAGAAGTCAAATACTCATCAGGAAAGTCCCAGTCTTATATTAATCCTAGTTTTAACATTTGATTTTCTTAGTTTTCATACTATTGCTTTTCTTTTAAGAAAAAAGAGTCTCCAACTTGCTAGTGACTAGGCACACAAAGTCAGTTTTTGGTCAAGTTGCTGTTGCGCTTGATGGATTGTGGTAAGCATGAATGAAATATGCATAATTAATTTTGCAGTTATGTTTCAAAGCAAAAACTTGAACTTGCTTGCAATTTATCCTACGTGTTTCACACACTTTCAAACAGACACATCTACAAAATCCAAAGCTAATGCTTTCCAAGGACACTACAGCTCATTAAAGATAAACTCCATGCAAAATCTGAACTTTTGAAGTCAGGTATATTTTTTATAGCAACATGTCTGTATTTCCTTAACTGCTTAAAAAAATTCTAGATATAAATCGATTTATTCCATAGTAAAAATGAATGGGGTATAAGATGCCCCAGACTTAGACCAATAGAAGTCACTCCACTCTGGGGAAAGCTACTCCTCAAAGCAAGTAACTACACAAGAAAAGGTACTGGTGGTGCATCTGCTCTCCTAATCTATTTTAATTTTAACCCAGGTATCTATTTGTTTAATTCAGTGATACTCAACCATGGTTCCATGACACCTTAGGGTGCTATATGATCTTTTAAAGCAATGAAGGCCAACCTTGTTGACAACCATGCCACAAATAAGCCCCATACCCTCCTCAAGTGCCACTACAATCCCCTTTCCCTGCCTGATCTGCTGCTCTGCTTCCTGCCCTGTGCTTCCTACCTGATTTGCTGCTTTGCTTTCTGCACTGCCAATGTGCTGCCTGTCCCCTCCGCAACCTGCTGTGTGCACCAGAGGCTGCCCATGCCACTTGCAGCAGCTGTACCTCAGGTTGACCACTCCTGCTTTAAAGGGTGCCATGGGGTGCTGCCCCATACTAGCACTGTTAGATGTGCAAACGTCTACACAATTCACAAAGATAAACCCAGAGCTTTCAAATTGTGAAATCCATAGCGTCAAAAACATTCTGACCTGCAGTGATCTTTCTGAGTCCTTTGAACACAAGACTCGCTCTATTATTTTTCCATGGTCAAAAAAAATAAATGAAAGCTAAGAGCTGGCATTTTCTGAGGGATGCCTCATGTTTAAAAATGCTGAGAACCACTAATTTAAACCAAACCAGCTCTCTCCCATCTAGTGGTCAGATGTTATAATAGCATGCATTTTGTGCAGGCAACTTGGGAAAAGCTGGCCTTCTGTTTGCTTCCTACCACTTAGAAAGTTTATTATGGAGTAAAATCTGAAGTATAATACTCCACAGTTATTACATCACATTCACATCTGACTGTACCAAGTACAAAAGACACGAGACCAATGACCTAAATATATTCCTTCACGTATGCAGATAAAGTTGGTTGGGTCTAATACTACCAAACAGATCTGCAGCTACAGAGTAGAATACATTAAAAAGACAATACAGTGAAGAGAGTCAGCAGAGAAAGGAGAGAAATTAAATTCCATCATTATGTGACAATCTAAACATAGGGTCTCTTTAGGACACCTGGAAGTAAAGCATGAGGTAAGCAGGTTACAAAGGACAAACACACAATATTCCTTTTTATACAATGCTTGTGACAAAGTGGAACAAATATAGTACAAGAGGGACTCGGGTAAGTTGCATCTTCCACCAAGTGGAGAGAAAGTCACTGTCTATAGCATTTACCCAGAAGCAGACTAGCCACTGTAGCTTGCAATTCCACCATATCCCTCCTTTCCACGTTGGAAAAGATCTTCCCATCCTGCCACCATAATTGGCCAGGACCTTGCCACCCTTTGCCAGTACAAGATAAAAGCATCAGTTATGCCAAAGCCAGCGAGGAGAGGAGGCATGCTGTCACCAGAGCTCAAGAAACAGGTCTTGTACCTTGTATACCCTTTAGGGGTAAGTGTGTCTAATTGCATAACTTAGAGGTGTCAAATAAAGCTGCTTCTTATATAGTACAAATGCCAATTAAAAAGGGGGCTAATAAGGCATCACAAGACATTGCTT